TTTTTTTTTCGTTAAATCATTAAATTTTTAACGAATTTTAACATGACATTACTCATTAAGGTCATCTTCCCTTTCTTCCTCAAAAATCGATTTCACGCTGGTTATATTCAAACCGCCTGAAATTTGGTAGATATGTTGGAGTTGTAGCGGAGAAAACTATAGTAAAATTTTCCGCTCTAAATCCTGATGTTTGACAGAGATATCTACCAAACAAGAGTCAGAAATGGTGCATTTGACAAACCAAATTTCTCTAAATGGTGAGATCAGATCTCGGACTATCTTTCTAGGCAATTATCTTAATTTTCATTTTTCTGACGAAAACGAAGTTTTTTTAAGAGATGGCCTTAAATTGGCTATTATTTTTACATGAGAGTGCGCTCTAATTAGGCAAACTGCATAAAACTTCAATGAGTTTATGGATCAACTTCTTAATCCAATCAGAGTTCCAAGAACATATAGTGTGAAATGGGACTGATGAAGAAACATGAACGAACAGAACCATATATCTCAGACTAACAATTCTAATGCGTTTAAAAAGTTTTGCTTTGAAAAAATTGAGTTTCACAACGTTAATATTTCACGAATTTGGTTTTTCTTCAAAAAATTTTTTTCATGTGTTAAAATATATCTTTTTAAGTGTAAAAACGTCGTCTTTTTCATTGCTTGTCTGATTAGAATAGAGAGAAGCGAGAAAGAGAACAAGCACTCATTCTCAACAGTGAATCTACGCGCCAGTGGATCTCGTTAGAGGTAACATTAAGAATATTAGTTTATCTTCACTTTATGAAATAAAAGTAAATAAATTAAAAAATCTTTATTTTTAAAAAAAAATACAGATAAGTAAAATTTTTATCTTTACAAAATAAAGATACATAAATTCTTTATTTTTAATAATTAAATAATAAAGAAAGATCTTTTTTCGATGATAGATTAATCGATAAATTGTGTATCAACTGAAGGAAATAAAAGATTATGTTTTTTGCGTAATTTCAACATACTATTTCACCTATCCATTTAGAAAAATATATAAATATTTCGTTTATATCTATTCTTTATTATAAATGAACAATCTAATCAATATGGATGAAAAGAGTAACA